TCCTTGCCTGTCCACAATGTACTTAGGAGTCTTCTCCAATACCAAAGCTGAAAAGTTCCTCTTCCTATTCTGTTTCTTCAAAGTTCAAGCAATAACTTTAGCTTGAAACTATTTTATTTTTGAAATACTAATAGCAATAGCACTTAGATTTATATACCGTTTTATAGTGCTTTACAGCCCTCTCTAAGTGGTTTACAGAGTCAGCTTATTGCCCCCAACAATCTGGGTCCTCATTTTACCCACCTCAGAAGGATGGAAGGCTGAGTCAATCTTGAGCCTGGTGGGATTCGATCTGCCAAATTGCAGCCAGCCAGCAGTCAGCAGAAGTACTGTACTCTAACCACTGTGCCACTGAGGCTCTTAATGCTAAGACTATTGAGTCTTGTACTACTGGGTATATTTTAAGCCATAAACTGTTAGTTGGTGCAGCTTCCAGACCCCAGTCAGTGGTTTTATTTAGAGAATAACTTGAGTGTAGAAATTTCAGAATTATTTAGTCCAGGAATTTCTGAACATATCAGAAACTTACTTCAGCAAGAAACAAGCAGAACAGATAGTAACCAGCAGAATGTGACTGTGGATCATCCACAATCTGGACATGGATTTATAATTAATTTTCATTTCTTTTCACTTTACTAGGAAGAGAAGGAAGCATATGCTTTTTCAGGGCACAGTAAAAAATACTGCAGATCCTAACAGATAAACAGTAGAAAAATGATGAGCCATTAATTGGTCAACCATTGAGTTAAGAATCTTAAGACCAGAGCTTGTTACGTTTGTAATTGTTGAGAAGTGCTGACATTTTCTCTTCCTTTTATAGACATGAAGGAACCAGTGTTTGACTTTGTTCGGCCACCCAGATATCATCCTCCCCAGAAGAAATATCCACACCGTCAACCTCTGAGGTACCTGGACAGGTACAGGGACAGTGATGAACCCACCTACGGCATTTACTGATCAGATGAACATACCGTACTTATTTCCATAGGAGAACTGAACAGAACAATGTGTGTGTGTGTGGTCCTCCCCCCCC